ATACGATAAGCTACGAGAAATTGTTATTATTGAAAAAAGTATGACATGACGTGCTACTGAAATGTTATATTTAAATTATTAATTTAATTAAATAAATTCAATATTCAACTTCATAAAACTCTATAATGTAAATTAAATAATTAAAATTTCACAACCTATCTAATTTAATTAAGATCTTGACATAGAATCACTGTTATCACATAAGTCAGAACACTTATTGATAATTAGTCAATACTCAAACTAGAAAATTTGTAAATTCTCGATTCAAATTTCTTCAGCTATATCATCACCATCGATGTATAAAATACTATCACTAGCATCAGTGAATAACATGGCCTCCATCTCTAGTTTATCTGAAAAAAGATTTGCAATATCAGGCGTTCCATCTTCTTAAAAGGATTCAAATTGATCCCCTACCATATCCCATATTTTAGTTTTCTCGACATAGCATTGTGGGCTTTTTATTGATATGATAGATGTAGACTGTTGTGAACAAAAACAAAAAAATTTGGCATTTATTCCGAGCTAACCACTTTGCCTTTACTGAATGAACAAAAGACAATGTATTCAAATTCCGTTCACTGCATGAAGAAGAACTAGGTTGTCCAGGAACTCAAAAGTTAACACTCTGAAGTAAAGATGCAGCTGAACCATGAGTAGCCTAACAACCTTTTGCATCCATAATGTCCCTATTCTATCAAAATCACGTAAAACTTAATTGGAGCATTTTCGCAGTACTGATTAAATAGTTCAAATATTAAAATAGAGAAAAACAAATATAAATATGTCCTTAGAAATTTTATTTTTTTTTAAATTTATCCATCAGCAAGGGAATCAATCAACTTATTTATGTTATTTAATGATTAAAAAAATATTCAATTATATAGTAAATTACCTGCTTTAAAGTGGGAATGATTACAATATTAGTCAACATCCCAAGACTCTCGACAAACAATCAGAATTTGATAAAGGTGGCACTATAATTAAAAAAATTAGGTTTATGTTAAAATCTAGCATTATAATGCTTTTACATAATAAATAAAGCCCATAATTTAATTTTTTTAAGCCTAAGTCCTTAATTAATTTAACTTTTTGGTTAGAGTCCGTGATTACAGTTTTTTTTTTGTTTTTTTTTTGAATTCTGATTTTTTTTTTCATGCAAAGTTTTCCATAGAGTTTTCGAATTTCATTAAAAAAAAAAAAAGGAAACTTTTTCCATTTTCAAAATGTTCACGAAGAGTTTCTATTTCCAAAATGTTTTTCAAACGGAATGCTAGCATTTAGAGACTTTCCTCACATTAGAGGAGAGTGGGGAAAGCTCGCTTAGATGTTCTATTATTAGGAAGCGGATTGTATGGACAAAGAGGTTAAAAAGGCTATCGTGGTGAGTCAATTTTTTAATATATACAGAAAAAAAAATGGTATGAGCCCGATATTTGTTGTACGTTGTTCATTCTATTTCTGTAGGAAGCAGTTAAGAGGATTAAAAAATATTGTATTGTATGATTGTTTGAACTAAAAAAAGAAGACTTCTCATGTAATTGTTAGTGGTTTGCTGGACTATGTTAATCTATGTTTAGCTCTTTCTTGCTCATTTTTGTGCTCTGTGTTTCAAGGCCAATCCTGAGATTTATGAGTCCTTTGGTTAACTTTCATAAAGACAAATTTTTTAATTTTCAAGAAAATTTATAAGCTTAGGAAAAAAATCGTATGTGAGATTTCTTTAGTTTATATATATATATATTTCTTGACAAAAAATGTAAGTGCCCAAGTATTTTGGTCGGGATGGCAATGGGACGAGTATCGAACGGGTTGGCCATTCCCACCCCGTTCGGTCGGGTATTTTTGTTATCTTACCCTATATTCATACCCGATCAAAGCGAGACGGGGTAGGTCCCATGCCCCATATAGTTTTTCTTTTTATTTTTTTATTTACTTAATGTTTTGCTTTTTATTTTTTTGTCCCTACTTAGTAAATATTATAAGTATTTTACCAATTTGTTAAAATCAACTTATGTTCTCTTTAAAAATGATGATAAATCTATTATTTTTGTTTGATAAAAACTTAAATTTGAAATTAACTTTAAATGGGACAAGTAGCGAGGCGGGGACTATGTTTCCCGTAGTCATTCCATTCCCGCTTCGGAATAATGACCCTCGTCCCATACCCATCCCATTTACCTGGTTAGACGGGTAATCCCTACTCCATTTGGAGTAGGGCCCACGGGTATCGGGTTGAACAAATTTTTTTGACATCCCTATATTTTGGGCTTCTTATTTAGTCCCATTTTGGTTGTTTTGCTATTGCTGCAATGGCCTAGTTCACCCTGGGCCGAGCCAACTGTGTTTGCACTACGTTCAGTGGGTATTAATTTTTTCCAACAAGAACTTGAAAAGGCTGATTAATTGACACATTTCATAAAATCAAGACAATTTTGGATCCTAATACTGGTTAATTTGTTGCATGAAGCATTAATGAAAGTTTACATTAATGCAATTAAATAAATTATGTATGTTAAATAAAATAAAATAAAACTAAACAAATGTTTTTATCAACCTAAAGCACATTTGTTTAGAGTCTTAAGAATTTACTCACTGCCTAATTTTAAAAGAAAAATGGAATAAACGAGAAAAGTGGAAGACACACAAATCATTCATTTAACTGAACAATTGAAGAGAGTATTTTGTACAATTATTTATGCCGTTAAAAGAGTATTTGTTAGTTATTTTGATGAACAATGAATTATTTCAAAATGAATCGGGTAAAGATCAATTATTGCAGTGGAATTGGAGAAAACGAGCGAAAAGGGCGGAATTGTAAGAAATTCATAGTTTGAAGACTAAAGTGCAATAACTCAGAAGTTGCATTGGACCTGAAGATGAAGAGTCAATTGTGCTAGGGATCAATTGAACAAGAAAAGAAGACAAATGACTGAAAAGGACTAAAAAAGGACCAAAGTAAATAATGGAAAAAGTTCAGGGGTCCCCAAGCTAGACCCGTGTGATTGCGCGAAGACTCTTTAGTCTTGACTATAGCCAAAGGCTATCTGCCATGCGATCGCTTGGCTTTCTATGGAATCAGATTTTCTTTCTTCTTTCTTTTGTCGACTCTTTATGGTATGAAATCTTTGGCCCTATTTTAACCTAGAAGGAGTCCAAAAAGTATAGACGAAGTTTTTATCATAAAATCGAGCCTAGCAAGAGTCGAAAAAGGATTCTACAACAAGATTTGCAAGAGCAAAGTTCGGATTAAAGATTAAAGCGCAAGAAATTGAATTTTGAGTTCTTCATCTATTTCTTTACTTCGGGTGATGTCTCTTCAGATCTTTTTGTATTATTTGAATACCATAATGTTAAGCTAAACTTCTTTAGTATTGGATGAATGATAAAACCTAGTCATTGTTATTTTTAATTCAAAGATTAAATATTATAGTGAATTATTTTGTTTTTGATCAATAATGCATCCTTATTTCATTGTGTGAATGCTTGATCACCATTTAGACAATGTTTTTGTTTATCATAGTGTTGGAAAAATCACAATGAGTTATAACATTGCATATTTGACACATGGACAATAGGTGTTAGGAATACATTTATGATATGTGCAATTTAGGTTCATAATCGTGTGATGGAATACTCCTCTTTACATTTGAATTCGAATTAGTATTAGGGTTAGGTCGTGCATAGAATAGGTTTAATCTATTTTGGAAAAGAAGGTTAAACATTAGAGGATTATCGATTGATATGAGCGCTTAAGAATACTAAATTACATAATTTGAGAATAGGAAATACAAGTCAATAGGTGAATTGTGAAAATCCAATATATTATTCTCATAATTTTGAAAAAAACATATCTTTACAAAGGTGTACCTTAAGTTTGAATAATTAAAAACTCTATAGTTCATTATTCTTCATGGGACGATACACGTTACTTCCTAGGTATTACTTGTCAACGATTCTGTATGCTTGTAGGATTTTTTGAGCAAGTTTTTCATGCCATTGTTAGTGAATAATTTGTTTAATTCTAGTTTATTAGTTTATATTGAATTCGACTGTTTTCTTAGTTTTTAGGCTATAATCACACAGCATAATTTTCTTGTGTTTTGTTGTTTTTCTGGTAATCAGCAGTTTATGAAAGATTATAGCGAGATTGAGCTTGATCCGTTAGATCTCAAGATCAAAAGAACCTTCTAACAACAAAGACGATAAAAAAGAATAGTAAGGAAAATGGATGAGAATTAAAATTTGAATCAGAATCAAATCAAGGATTCACTTCAACTGCGACAACTAGTTCAACAAGAGTTATCGCCAATGAAGCCCCTATATTAGTTGGAGACTATGCAAATCCAGTGTCATTTCTATCGAAAGAAAAAAGTTCTGAAATGGATTGACATTATAGTTATTTCTTTTCTATCAAAAAATTCTAA